CAGCATTTGTTTATCTGTATAGATTATGTGTTATGTATGCATTAGGTGCATATACACCTGATATTATATAAAATAATTTGAACCGGTCGGATCAATGGCGAAGTTCTATATTAGAAGGAGACCATCAACGATTAAAATATACAGTTATTGATATAAGACTGATTATTATTACTTTTTGTCTGACAGTATTTCAAATGAAATTACTAATAACTCTGAAGTTTAAAAGGAATGTGTTGCATTAAATGTCGTATATACTATTAAACGCGTAACGCGAACTTCACGCTGTCTCTTATACTTTATACCATCCGCAAAACCGTTGGGTGAGAGCAGCCATTAACTCTGTTATGGGATGGGTAAACGAATTTTTTTTCTTGTTCCTGTACTAGCCACTAAGCGAGTGCTAGTGCTCGTTTTTTCAAAACAGTTAATAGCCTTCTGGATAGTAAAGTTTTTTTAAAGCTATTATGTTGAATTTTGCAGCGGTAAAATGTTATGTGTTTAAAAATATATTTTTAATTGCTTCTGGTATAATGAAGTGTGGTTATACGATTTAAATTCATGAATTGAGCTTAAGTGTTAGGTGACAATCGTTTTTGCTGTATAATTCTCTGGACTCAGACTACTACAGATATTGAGTCACTTTCCTAAGCCATGACTTAGGGACGATTTTTCCAACGCTAGATAAATTTTAACTGAGGATTTAATCTTCAATCAAACAATTATTCAATTTTAAAAACTGTCAAGTGTTAATTTTATTCTGAAATTAAGAATTAACTGATGATTGAAAATCTACTCTCAGAGAGGAATATAGTCAACAATCAGTCCAGTATATATCACAACGTAGATTTGGACAACCATTGATAATGCATGAAAAAGCATAGAATGCTTATCTTAATAAAGATACCACCTTTATATTTCATTATTTGACTAAGAAATCATACACCCAATTGCTGAATATTCTTATGAAATACAAACCCCAAAATATTTGAAAACTTACTAATAAAATTAATGATTATGTTATTCGGCTTGCTTACGTAATGATTCAACGAGGAACTCGACTAGTTTCAAGCCATGCTACAGGCTCATATTCATGAGCAGCACTGCGGTGACTGTCGCGCTGCTACTCATAATTACGTAAGTAGAAAAACATAGTAATTAATTTAGTATGTCTCATGAAAGTTATAAACAAAATTACTTTCAAACTTCAGACCTCAAAATGTTAGAACCACGATTTTTTTTTGTTTTCAGTTTTCTTGTACATTCCCACCGAGATAGTTTCTTAGAGCAAGTTGTAACGTTGACGAGGTTATCAACGAACAAACTAGAAACTGTTGCCTATATGTTTCGTGAACGTTCGTTGCGAGATTGTTAAAAGTTTTCCTTCAGTCAGTATGAGGTGGTTGTGACGTAGAGTTTGTTCGAGAATCGTAAAGAAATTGCTATGTTTTTTCTTGTAACTCGTACCTAACTAATAACGAGTTGGTACCTTTTTTTTTAATTTTGAAGTTAGAAATTAGGTACTTTAAGTCAGTTCGCTTATGATTGTAATAAGCCTTCTGTCACTTTTTTGATGTTGTTTCATTTCATTCAATAGTTGTGTCTAATGGAAAATAATATATTTTACTACGTATTTTTTATGAAATTCATATTTTTTGGAAACAAAAATTTTGTAACTAGCTTTTACCCGCGGCTTCGCTCGCGTCACAAAAGGATAAAAACTAGACTATGTGATATATACCAATACACACAGCGCCATCTTTACCAATACTTTTGTTTTTCCTCGGGAATGACAATTTTTCCGGAAAAAGTACCCTATTATTTAATCCGGACTTCTAACTTTACGTCTGCAAAAATTCAAAGCAATCGGTTAAGGAGTTACGGCGTGAAAGCGGAAGAAACAAACAAACTCACTTTCAGATTTATAATATTAGTAAGGATATACAACCTTTTTAAATGTAGATATTATTTGTTCCTTGACATTGTAAAACAGTACAAGTCAATATATTTTAATTACATTACTGGTAATTAAAGGCGAAAATAGTAACAATAAAAACCTGAAACATAAGTCAGAAGGATTCCGCAGATCCCGGACGTGAGCCGGTACTAATAAAAAAGTCTTTAATACTCAGCAAATACGGTCTAGAATTGCAGAGAACAAATTTGTTGGCGAGGAGTCTTTGTAATTTTTCTTTAACTTTAATATTCTATAACTTCTACTGCGGTATTAACTAATTAAGATCACTTTGTGAAATTATTTCTGACTAGTTCGTATCTGACTGGCATAACAAACTTCATAAAGTCATCAAACAAACTTCACACGCCTTTTATCCGCGAAGGCGTAGGCAGAGGCGCACATTACGGCATCTAATGCCACTGTACAAGTGTATAATATAACACCCACTTTTCACTGTATATGTTATAAATATCCTATGTAATAGTGGGTGAGCCTATTGCCATATACCAGGCAAAATTCCAGACTCCGTGCTACTACTAAGCTTTTTTAAAACCCAGTAATATTTTGCCCGACGAGAATAGAACCCGATACCTCTTGCCCAGCAGTCGCACTTGCAACCACTCGGCCATTGAAGCAGTCAGTCTCTTTTTAACCATTATCCTATACATTTTTATTAACACATTCAATTCCAGACAATATCAGTCAGACGGTGTCGGGTATTGAGTCAGATATTGACCGACGTCAACCAACATGCTTCTACATTTTTCTATCGGCAGTCAAAACATAATTGTTGTTCGCTCCTAAGACTTGTATGTCAGACCCCTGAAGCATTGAGATAAAATCTCCGCGGAACGGTCAAACGGAAATACGTAAATCCTGCCACTGTTCTTTAACTCCGACCGAGAGGAGTTAAAACTGTCTTTGTTGGGAGTTAATGACGATGCTTCCTGCTTGACAGATTTTACTCTTGAATTTATAATAACAATCTGTTTTCTGTAATTTACTGTTGCGTTGTAAAATATTATGAGTTCCAGAATTATCTTTCACAAATGTGACTGTATTTGATTCACTGTGAAGTTCAAGTTTTTATAAGTTCCATATGCATTGTTATAAACTACATGTCTCTAGATTTAAACTAGTAATGCTACCTTCTTTAAGATGATTACCTATCCATAAACAAATAAATGTTTTTAGTCTGACTTAATTATAAACGGTACATAATATTCCATATAAAAGTTACTCTTCCAAAACTATATCTTTGGTTACCCAAATTTTACTCAAAGGTATAATGAAAACTGAAAAGTTTAGTGTACATTAAATAGTCGTTTTAAACTCTTTATAGCACGTAACTGGAGAACTTAACAGCATTTTATGGTTAAGAATAGAACCTGCGTGGTCCCACAAGTGTCATGGGATCTTATACGGTGATGATACAAGTCTCTGATGGCACTTATTCTAGTTATTACGGCTAGTTTTTTAAAACTATTATCTTTTCATTTTTACTCGTTTTTATAGGAGTATAAATATAAACACAGTGGTTAACAGAAATACATTTTATTGATTGTTAATAATACAATAGGTAACTTCAGTTAAGTAGCAGTTACAAATAAAATATTTTGTAGGAATCGTTATTAGCATCAAATGAAAAGTACCACAGAATGAATGAATTAGTAATAACAAATCAAAAGTAAATTGAATAGTACACAGTACCTATAGTATCGAAACTATTGTGATCTAGTAATCGGCAAGAATATGAGCGGCAGCTTTCTCACCAATCATTGTGACTGCAGCGTTTATGTTACCACTGACTTCAGTAGGCATAACACTAGCATCAGCAACTCGCAAGCCACTTATGCCCTTCACTTTAAGTGTGCTGTCTACAACTGATCCCATAGCACAAGTACCTGCATAATGCCACATAGTAGATGACATTCCCAAGGCGTAACAATTCCAGAACTCTGTGCCTGTTTTACCAGTGCAAAGCCCAGTATCAACTAGTGTCGCATCAACGCTCTTGAAGTATGTTGTATTTAATACTGCTGCAAAATCTTCCAGGCATTCGATCATCAAGTCCAAATCAGTACTGTTACTGTATGTACCAGTGTATACTAACGGCTCCTCGGAAATATCAGCACTAGCAAGACTTACGTTACCACGTGAGTTTGGCATCATCAAGTTATGTACTACGAACAGTACAGATCGGCCCACGTTAGCTTCGTAGAATTTGTTGCATATATCGTTAGAGTATTTAAAAACGTTAGTGCAAAGTTGCATCATGGCGCCAGAGTCGTGAGGGAATACAAGATTAATAGTCTGATAATCTGGGTAAGTCTGAGTTGAATCAATAGCAGCATAGAAAGTGGTAGTTGGTACAGGGAATACGTATGGATTAGCTGCTGGAGTAGTTTCAGTGCTAGCTTCCATTTGAATCAAGAGTACGGCTGATGGATGGTCCATTAAGTTTTGACCGACAGGTAAATCAGCTACTACTGAAATGTCAAACGATTCCAGATGTGATTTAGGTCCAATACCGGATACCATCAACAATTGAGGGGAGTGTATCGCACCGGCAGATACAATTACTTCCTTGTTTGCGTATAATACAAGAGATTCACCACTGGATGTAGTAACTTGAACACCAGTAGCAGTGGTACCGTCGAATAAAATCTTTTGTGCTTTGGTAGATAGTGCAACACATAGATTATCAAAAGACTTAGCACGAGCCAAGTAAGCAAGAGCGTTACTCTGTCTTAAATTGTCACCAATAGCGTACAAAGGATCGGCGGCACCAATTGATGAAGTTTTAGATGTTGTATCGTCAACTGTTGGGATTCCAAGCTCTGCAAAGGCTTCTAAGTATTTAGCACTTGTAGATGATGGTTCTCTTGCAATTTTTATCATACCGTCAGTACCATGGAGGTCAGCGAAGGATGTTGCAAGCAAATCTACGTCAGTCAAGTTTTCTAATTTCTTGAAGTATTGTAGAACATTTTCATAGTTCCAGGAATCATCCCCTAGAATGGATGCCCACTGATTGTAGTCATGGGGATCTCCTTGTACGTGTATCATATGGTTGAGGCTGCTGCTGCCACCAAGCATTTTTCCCTGAGTTAGACTAATAATTTGGTCTTGCAGATTCTGGTTAGCATACCCATCGTTTACAGAAGATGTGTCGTAGTCAACAGAAGTTTTTGGTATCGGCGTGAACAGTAGCGGAAACTGTAAAAAAGATACAAGGAAGAGCGTTAGTTAAAAGTTACAAATGTATTTGTTAGATTAGACTTGGATGATAAACAAAAACATGAACAAACTTACTTCGGTTTCAAGAGGTGGGTACGAGCCTTCTTCGATTAACAGGACTTTGTGGCTGGTATTAGCTGAGAGTCGGTAGGCAAGTACTGACCCAGCGCTGCCACCGCCAACAACAATGAAGTCATAAGAAGAAGCATCTGTGAAAACATAAAAATAATCACTTTCCGTTCCTTAAAGGGGTGAACAAAGCAGATATGCTTGTTTGACTTTTACTTTGAATATCCCAAAAATGAGTAAAAAATTTACTAGACAATTTCTCTTATAATGCCAACGTAGGTATGCTCATTTGACCAAAAAAGCTAGTCAAGGCATTTCATAAACAAACTATTGCTATATAATGCATTGATGCAACTAATATAACAAAGTATAAATGTTCATGGCTACTTACTTGTTAGGGAACAATTGGATGGGTAGCGGAAGGCCGTCAACTGCAATGCAGATAATACAGTCAGTGCTGACTGCACTGCTGATATGGTAGTTAGAGTAGTTGCTGCAGCGTCGCTCATGACTGAAACAATAGAACATAGTGAATCATGAGAAGAAACGGTGCTGCATTAAGTTTCCTTTATTCAGTTTATTATCCAAATACAGGACTCAATTACTTTTTTTTAATTTTAGTTTTTATGGAATGGTAGGCAAACGAGCAGGTGGATCACCTGATGATAAGCGATCAGCGCCGTCCATGGACATCCGTAATACCAAAGGAGTCATAGGTGCGTTGCCGGTCATTCCACAGTTTTGCTGTGCGAGTTAGGAAGCTACATGAGAAGCGCACAGTTGTGGCCTGCCAACCATCTATATGATGGCGATGCATATGATATGCTGTTCTTGGTCGATGGTGAAAAGATGCGGCAGGTCAAACAATTCCTCAGAGCACTCCCCGTGGTATAAGCGAAAAATATTTTATTACTGGTTAAAAACTTGTACTACGAATTTTAAATGCGAAATTCTCAAAATGTAAAATTGACCAACCACCCCAGTATTTAATATAATACAACTTTCTAGTAGATTAAGCTTTAAAAATTGTAATCAGAACTTTATATTTACAATAGAAAAGTATAATTTGTTCAACATATAATTATTATAATTCGTTCTTTTTTTTCTAATTTTCCTAAAATAAATTTTTAGAAAATTAGAAAAAAAAGACACAAAAGAATTGTAAACTGTTGAATTTAACCCACTGGGTTAGTATTGAATTAATCCTTCAGTTTAAATATGAAATATAATAATGTTAGACTCTTTGCCTATCCTGGGGATGTTCAAACCCAAAGGCAAGTCAAAGAGTAAAATAAAAAAAATATTTTGGTTTTAAAAATAAGGTTTGGTTACTTACTTGTGATTGCTGTCACAACTCGAACCGAAGATGTCGATTATCCATCATGCCTCAGTTTTTATACCGAAATTGTACTAAACGATACATCTGAGGAAATATTTGCTCAAGTGCTTACTAAAAATGTCTCGTTTCTCAATTAATTAACTATGCTAATTATATTGTGTGCAAAATTAATTCGAGGGGTAACGGGCTATTTGGTTTAAGCGACATTTTGGGCGATATTGAGTTATATATATATTCGGAATCAGCGAATTTTTCTCCGTCGATTGATGCCGGTTTCATTAAAATCGGAGCACTTTTTTGGCGTTTCAAACAATTCTATTTTCGTGTTGTTTCCAAAGTGACAGTGTATTAAACGACATGGATTTCGCATTTTTTATTAAATTATGTACTTGAACCATACCATCATATTAATAACCGAGACATAAACCAGTCACCCTATCTCTAATTAATAAGTCAAAATGAGTTAAAGCGTTTTTCCTGTTTCTAATTTTTACTAGCAAGTAACTTGAATCATTTTGACTTCCCACTAATCACACGGTGTGTTGTCGCTTAAAACATTTATCCGTCACCCAAATACGACATGGTTCGTCTCTTAAACACTTCTAGCTGCTTTTATTTTCCACGCAGGGTGCTACTTAAACCAAATAGTCGTTTTCGTTCAGATATTTTGTTTAGTCATAAATCATTTAGCCCTCCTTTTTTTTAAAATGCATGTCGTTTTATACAGATGATAACATTAATAATGGATATTGAAACATTTTGCCAGTATTCATAAAAATATGAATCGGTCTTTAAATCACTAAATTTTAATATGGTACATTTCAATCATGTCATATGATACTATATTTATTTCATCGCCCGGGTGTTAAAAATCGTGATCATCCAACTGGACTATCGTGCGCTGGCGCTTCAGTCACTCCAGAATGCGTCGAAGACAGACGGGACGCGCACTCACCGCCAGTGTTTACGTAAAACGCTCATCGAAATTGAATCCTAAGTACTTTAATTTCAAGATCAACCTCGCGGTCGTCCGAAGACTTTGGTGACAATAGGCTATTGTGGAAGCTGATGACATACAATCTACGGCTGATTTAGCAACAGCTTTCGACGTTAGCATCAAAACAATATTGGTCCATTTACGTCAAATTGGCAAGGTAAAAAAACTTGACAAGTGGGTGTCCCACAAACTCAATGATCGCCAGAGCTAAGTATGCATCGAGCAGTGCCTTGCACTGCTCAACATAGTTGTAGTAGTAGTTAGTTCAGCACCTAAACAATACCCGAAACGAAAACTTACTCCTAGAAAAGTGATGGTCACTGATGGTCTAGCGCCAGTCTGATTCATCACAGGTTCTTACCAAACGGAGTGAGCATTACTGCGGATGTGTAATGTGAAGAACTGAACACAATGATGGAGAAGCTGACACATCTCCAACCAGCACTGGTCAATCGCTCATCTCCATTGCTCCTGCATTACAACGCGCGACCTAAAGCTGCACAACAGATGGTCTCCAAGTTACAAGAACTGGGGTTGGAAGCTCTCCAATATCCACCCTACTCACCAGACTACTTCTTTTCCAGAATTTGAATAACTTCTTCGCGGGAAAAAAATTCATTACCCGAGAGGCAGTACAAAATGCATTTAAAGAATTTGTTGCCACCCGTCCAGCTGATTTGTTTAAGAAGTATTTTGTGGCAGTTTATTGATGCCCAATAAACTGCCACTGCGTTGGCAACGATGCATTGATTACATGGGTGATTACTTCGATAAATACAAATAAAAAATACATGAAAAAAATCGTTTAAATTTTTTCATACAAAACGGCAATTTCAGTAAATAACCCATTAATTTATCTGATTTTGCTGAATAAATAATAATATAATCGTTGTTCCTATGCAGACTGTTATTATTAATCTAAATAAATACTTTGATATTGTGTTGTGTTTATTTATCCGATGTAAGCACCTGAGATTTTCGGTTGTTTCGATATATCCAGGTTGTTTTATCAGCCATTAATCGTCTTAGATGTAAATAAACATAAACATTTAACGATACAATTTCAATGTTATATGTCACATAAGTAAATTAGCCTGTTACTCATTTTAGTCTAAATTGGTAGTTGAGATAAATAGCTTGCTTCTATTTATTTTGGGTTTCGTTACTTCATACTTTTTGGCTTACTCTGTAAATAGAGTGCATCGTCGCTTAATTTTTTTCCCTTGTAGCCAATTGTAGTTATGAAGTCACTTAAATCATTTTTCCTGACTCTAAAAAAGGGCAGATTGTATTAAGCGACATTTATCTTTGTAATTAAAGGTCCGCTTTATTTGGAATTAGCATCAGCAACTAGATATTTTTATTTAAATTTCAATGCAATTTACCCCGTTCAAATATCTGCAGAAGCGTTTTTGTTATGAATTTTTTTTCGAAATTTCAAACTTTAAAAGGCTCTCCTGTAAAGTTGCAAAAATGTCGCTTAAACCAAATAGCCCGTTACCCCTCGAATTCACATTTGTTTGTACAGCATTGGCTCTTGATGTATAGTATCGATAAAAATTCTAAATATACAAAAATATCTACCTATTACCAATTTTGTCTGTAAATTCTACAAAATCTTTTGCTTTGTAAAATATTGACAACTAACCACTTTCAACCCCTCTAAATATTTTTTATTATAAAATCTTTAAATCTCGATACGAAAATTTCATAATTATAAAGAATACTGGAGTTTTTTGACATTAACTTTATAATAAAGATAAAACAGCGTATCAATTTTTCTTTTCTACAGCTGCACTTACATCCGCTGAACCACAAAGTTCTGACCTTGTGTAAAACACATAACTGATGTTTAATGTTTACATATTAATTAAAATTTACATTACACAAAGATAATTATGTTTTAAATATAACACACACAGACGATGAATATATTGGATCTTAATTTGCAATATCAATAAATGTATATCAATAAGAATATTAATTAATATTGTCTTGTGAATTAATGTAATAAGTCACACACGTTTTTATATTTTTCAGAAGTTTCTGCACGTGAATATTTTTTTAATGTTGTAGGTTTTCTAGCAATTTCTTAGTTTATACAAATTATGCTAGGTTTCAGCAATTTTTATGGTACGAAAATTATTCTCCGGTTTTTTTTAGAACCAAATGCTCAGTAACCACATTAAGGGTAAAGTTAATGTGTTAAGTAACTAATTTTAAATGATGCATGCAGTATATGCATGCGTAATCAAGTTGTACATGTATTTATTGTAGTAGGTATTTTTTTTTTTTTTTTGTTGAAAAACGTTGCCCCACACTAGGATTTTCTCCTGTGTCGTGGGTGCGTTTACAAACATACAAGTTCACATACACAATGACACCCAGACCCGGAACAACATTTGTGGATCACACAAAGTGTTGTACCGTGCGGGAATCGAACCCGCGACACGTTGCACGGCAGTCGGTTGCCCAGCCACCGCACCAACCGTGCAGTCAAAATTATACATCCCATACAAGTTTCGACGATAGCGATTAGGTTTCGACTTTTTTTTAATTTTAGAAATTTGATGTTTGGCGGTTGGTGAACGTTTTCAACCACTACGGTTTCAAAACGCCCGCTTATCATACATGAGAATGCGGTTCAGAACCTACCAACAGCAAGTACTAATGTGATTTTTTCCAAGTTATGTGTACTTTCTAAGACTATTTAGATGCCACGTTTTATAAATGTAGGAGAGTGATGCTTCGGCACGAATGGGCCGGCTCCACCGGAGTGATACCAAGGCCTCACAGAACACTGACATGAAGCAACGCTTGCGTTGTGTTTCGTCGTGTGAATAAGGTTCCCGGATGTCCAATACCCCGGTGATGATCGATCGATGATGTGATGTGATGTGATGAGTAGCTCTCATATGTAATAATATTGTGTATGCATTGCCTACTTTTTTGGGAACTACAGGAAGTGATGTAGTGTTGTTTTGTATTTACATGTAGCTCCTATCTACTCCTCCACTTACTTAATCTGAAGTTTAGTTAATATTGTACAATGTATGACCTCTAACTTTCCTATATATTCACCCCGAGCGAGCTCTAAGTGTAACTTTGTGGTCAACCAAGCGTGGCCCGCAAATGGTCCAGCTAATTTATTTATTTATAGCTCCGATATGGGG